TTAAGGGTTTTTGTAATGAAATATCATCATATTCATGTTCAGCGGGTCGAATTACCCCTGGGGACAAGTTTCTGGCCGAATCTGATTTTTCGACCTCATTCGGAAAATGTGGGCTATTCCATGGGTAATTAGCAGCAGATTGGAGCTCACCTACCATCGATGACTGGTCTCGGAATGGGATTTCCTCCCGATAGTGAAGAAATGATGCAGACGGCACAAATAAGTAAGCCAGGTACTGTTGTTTGCAAAAAGACATGACTGAAGAGTTATTTCAGTTCGAAGACCAGTCATCACCAGTATGCTAGTCATAGTATCGCTGTTAGCTATCAGTCAGCCATGACTATCCATACCCCATTTTTACGAAGTTGAGTCAGAAGCTCAGATTTCGCTAAGGTGACGTCCCTAGGGGTTATTTGACCCCCTGAACACGAATATGATACCTATTTTGCGCGAAGAGCGCTGTGAGTCGCGCTACCGGTGCCAGCGCGCCCGTAAGAAGAAAAACAGTAAAGAAAAACCTCCATAACTCCGCTCAGAGAATCGTTCTGCAAATTTTGAAGACAGTTCTGAGTTCACGTGTCAAGATGAGTACAGTGATGTGCATCTCATTGCAAATGGCCAGGCTGACCTGTTGACCTTTCCTGGTTAGAACGAAGTTTTCCCACCTACTGGGACGGTCGCCATGAATTCCGTGACAGATGGACACAGACGGACATAACTAGCGAAGCATATACAGTCCTCATCATTGCGGACCGGTGGGGCGTGTCAGTGCGGCTGCGTTTGGCGCGGTGCCAAAGTCGTTCTGCACCAGTTGTTGAAGCGGGCAAGTGACATTACTGTATTATATCCTTCGTATTACTCGTTTTCTACCACTTTTTGTCGCATACGCGTTTCAACAAAAAGGCTGAGAACGGCTTCAACAGTGTGCACACTCATACTGGCTGACACGCCCCACCGGTCCGCAATGATGAGGACTGTACTATGTACTGTACTACTACCAATGTGAAACAGGGAAAACCGCGAAAAGTCAACAAAATCAACAACCCGAAAAAAATTTTTCCCAACGAGACAAATTCCTCTCAGAGGCATATGTGATCCTTCTGGCCCCTCCTCTCCCAACAGCGACCAAATACGCCCCCACCCACCCCTAATCAGCGGCTGAGTATGACCCGCATGTGTTTCACGCAACGATGCTGTACCTGATTGTATGTAGTAGGATAGAAGGGTACGTCGCCCTCAATCGATCTTTTTTTTGAGATGCAACAAGCAACACGCCTTCTACGTCCATTCTGAATCGCAGCGGTTCATTGAGTGCGATACAGCCTATACAATGACTTGCCGGGACAGCGAACACAATTCAGTGGTTTTTTTTCCTCCCTACGGATCTCTACCAATTCACCGTACCCTGGGGTAGAAGGCCTATGGGTCTAGCTGGCAGCGGATTATTAGTGCAGTGCTCGCATGTTGATGGCTTCCTGTGCTTCTAAGTATGGAATCCTGCCACGTTTACGGTGGTTCAAGATTAAAAGCTCATCAACTAGTAGCAAGTTTCAGTTCTTCCAAAGCGTTTGATTTCCAGTCTATTTGCCTTTTATATACCCTTGTCATCAGTTGTTAAGTTTTTAGGAGACGTACGACAGTCCATCTGTTGTAATTTTGAGGAATCCTGCCAAGCAATTACATATCTATTTGTTAACGTCTGTTATTAATTTGAAAGTGTTCACCTTTGTTGAATGTTTTACAGGAATAAATTTTATATGACCTTGCTTCCACGTTCTACTTCCATAACTTCTCACTTGCTCACTTATTAGTTGTTTTCATGATGAGGGTGATCCATGGTGTGGAAAATCGCTATCAGGTGATTCCATGGAGACTTAGTTTCACTGTTCTTCTTTCCCCCC